TAAACTTTGTTTAAATAAACTAATTAGGCCCTATTTATATGGTCTGGGTGCCTGAGACAACCTTCCTCCAGAGTTACCCTGGGCTAGCTGGCTTTTCACTTATATTTCTTTACAACAGTTAGCTGACCGTTTGCATGAGGCCTGAACTTGATCGAGAAATTCATGTTTTTCAGACGCTCGCGCTCGTCCTGTGATCTATTTGAACCAATCTCGCAGAGTTGTTTATCATAAGACCCGCACGAGCCTCACGCTTTTACAGTAGAACCCCGCTAAATCGAACAGCCAAAAGGAACTAAAAAATGCCGCTTCGAGTCAGCTGATATTGAATGACTAAAAGATGGATTAAGCTGCACGTTGTGACATGTGCAGGGCAAGAAATAGCATGGCGCTTGCTTTAGTAAATCAATGCTTGAAATCTACATTGTAATCGAGTTTGAGACAGTTTTCTTTAAAATGTATTTTTTTTATGTTATTTAAAATTGGAAAAAACTGAGTAAAATACAAATGCTGAAGTTATCAGTGGTAATGCTCTTCTCATTTTCCGTCTTGTGAGACTGCTGTGAGTACTCGCACGGGGTATTTGGACAGTTAAGTTATCTGTTTTTTTTTTTAAGACCGTATTTCACAACATATAATTTCTTTATTTATGCATTTATTTATTTTTCCAAATGTGCCAGATTTTATTTCATCCTCCCACTGTATTGTTTAATTGTCTTTAACAGGATAAGGCCTCAAGTGTCACACATGCTCTTCCGACAAGGGTTGGTTTGAATGTAATAAGAACCAGAAAGAGCGGATCTGTCAACCCAGTGAGAACACATGTGTTGCACTTCATGGAAGGAGTCAATTTGCCAATAAGTATTTCAAAGGCTGTGGTTTCAAAACAATGTGCAACGGCACAACTTCCATCTGTAAAATGAAGGTATTCATCGAGTGCAAGATTTCCTGTTGCAGCAGAGATTTATGCAATTGAGCCTAAGTCAATGGTTGGCCTTTCTTCGTGTAGTCTTCGAAAGCAATTCATGACGATGAACACTAAATAAATTGGATTTTTAGTGAGACCCTTTGTCAAGCAACCAATATAATTACACGAAGCAAGCATATTATTTTTTTTTACATTCTTTCTTTGCTCGCACTGTGCAGACATTGCAGCGGCTTTACCCTACCTGATAGTGGATCAACTTTATCGAGGTTAAACTGATAACTTATATATACCTGGACATCATCAGCATTGCATGCTACAAAATTACAAACTGTGGGATGTTCAATAACGGGTGTTACTTACCATTACTTTGTTAAAGCGCACTGAGTTTTCTACAATCATTGAGATGTTCTGGCAGTAAAGTAGCTGATTACATGGCATTTTATTTGTCCTCTTGATATTTCATGCAACAGAGTGACAAGGAGAGAGAAAAATTATGTTGACAAGAGTCGAACTTGCCTCTGATCGGCGTTTGATTAAGCCTTGGATATAGTTGGGGTAATTTAAATCCATCAAAAACAAAAAAATAAGTCATCTATGTAATATCTTTCAAACCCATCCATTCAGAGTAGCAACCGTACGAGACCCATTCAGACCATTTTCTATGCAAATTAGCTTTTTTAAAACCCTAATAGAATTTACATTTATTCTGTTGTGTTTAATTAGGTGTCTCAAAAGGCAAGAAAAACTGAAAAATCCCAGACTAAAATGACGTAAATGACGTCTGAAGGCGTTAGTCAAAATCCACAACGTCCGTTGTGGTCAGCGGTTTAGTATTCTTTCATAAGATTACGATGACATAAGAAGTTGATCGGAATAACACCCAGTTGATAAATACGTCAAAAAGGTAATGTTGCTTGGGTACGGAAAAACAAACAGCAGTAAAAATACGAAAAATAAGAAAGATTACGACATAACATTTAGATGATGAGGTATGCTATGCATACAATGTTTTCATGAAGAAGTATACTTCCTTGCATTCAGCCCTTTACGATTACAATTTTTTACCTAAAATTCCCAAACCTAGCAACCCGGGTTGGCCCATTGTCGCGGCTTACAATTGTCTTACCGAACTTATTTCCAGCTATTTGGACAAAATTATGGCTCCCATCGTCAAAACGTTACCATCATATATTAAAGACAGCCAACAAGCTCTTCAAATTTCAAATTTAGCGAGTTTAATTTCCTAGGCCAAGACAAACTTCTTTTCACTATGGACATTACATCTCTTTATACCATCATTCCTAATGGCGAAGGTCTCCTCGCCCTCAAACATTTTT